AACCTTACATAACAGAAACACTCTCAGGAACTGAGCAGAATAAACAAGCTAAGGCAGAAAAAAAAACAAAATCAACAGAAAAGGCCACTGCGGTGTAAGAATAACTAAGGCTTGAGAAAAGGCTGAACAACAAAGACACAGGCACAAAATGTACAGAGATTTTAGTACAAAATAATCCTACAACCCGGAGAGAAAAAGAGGGAAACACTAGGGAGGAACTAATCAAAAAACATGGAAATAGGTGGTGAGATCTATAAAGAACTAAAGATAAATAAGATCAGCTGCTGCTAAGTACTTAAGAAAAAAAAGGTTAGGATGCAAGACAGCTGAAAGTGCACTGTAGATTACAAATTGCACAGTCTTGCGTAAACAGACCTTTGAGTCTGGAGTTTATGTCATTTCGTATAATCTCATGTTTTGGGCTGTGGAAATGTCAACACAACTATCCAATACACAAGTTAGTCATAGACAAAAAGTCACAGATGACTAGAGATAACACAAAGTTACACGTGCAAAACAACAATGGTGCATCGTTTCCCACTAGTTCAAGTTCAAGTTCGTTTAATTTCTATAGCGCTTTTCACAACAGACATTGTCTCAAAGCAGCTTTACAGTAAACCAACAAGTTTAAACTCAACAAAGTGAAAAGAAATTAATTACTAAGTGGTGTACATGTCCCTGATGAGCAAGCCTGGGGCGACTGTGGCAAGAAAAACTCCCTTTTGGAAGAAACCTTGAGAGGAACCGGACTCAAAAGGGAAACCCATCCTCATTTGGGTAACAACAGCAGTGTGATAAACTATGGCATAAACATATGATCTGGTAGTATGAACAGATAATGTAGTATAAACAGATGATATAATAATATAAACATAGACAGATAATATAGTATAAACAGATGATGACTGTGTTCGGTGTAGGTCCAGGGGTGCCGGAACATCTCCAGATGAATCTGTTTGTTAGGTTGAGGGCTGGTGGCGAGCCTCCCGGCGTCGGATCTTCTCCTGATGAGTCTGGTTGTTGGGGTGAGGAGCTGGTGGGCAGGGCCTCCGGGAGCCTCGGGATGAGTATTGGAAGAAGAGTGGAGTTGGTGGGCTGCGGTCCAGGGGGCGCCAGAACATCTCCAGGTGGATCTGGTTGTTAGGGTGAGGTGATGGTGAGCGAAGCCTCCGCGAATCTCCGGATGAGTATGGAAAAGAAGAAAAGAAGAGAGGAGCAGAATTAGCGTAGCTGCTGTTCATAATATTAATATAGTTTAATGTAATATTAATATAGTTTAATGTAAGATCGCAGTTTTTCACGGAGTTAAGTATAGGCTTTACTGAAAAGATACGTCTTTAATCTACACTTAAACTGGGCGAGTGAGTCTGAGCCACGGACGCTGTCAGGGAGGCTATTCCAGAGTTTAGGGGCTAAATGTGAGAACGCTCTACCACCTTTAGTGCTCTTTGCTATTCTAGGAACTACTAGAAGTCCAGAGTTTTGAGATCTTAAAGTGCGTGTGGGGTTGTACCGTGTTAGGAGGTTTGATAGATAACTGGGCGCTAATCCATTAAGGGCTTTATACGTCAATAGCATTATTTTGTAATCAATGCGAAATTTGACGGGTAGCCAATGTAGCACCCAAAACACAGAGCAAATCGGTGGGAACGGTAAATGTATGCAGGCTTTGTTCAGTTGGCAAACAGGTTAAAACATCTCTTTTTGACCCAACTAACTGCCTTTAGCAAAACTCCTGGATGTCTTTTAAATACCTCCTTCTATGAACTTTACATACTTTTGTTACCACTTCGGCTGCACTCCAATGGGAGAAAAAGATGGAGCAGAGGTTAGAACAGTCAGGTGGAAGAGCAGGGGATCATGATGACACACAGACAGGACAACAAAAGGAAGATAAGTTTGTCTTTGCATATGATCTTGGCTCTGAGCGTAAGGTGAGCTGGAAGAGAGAAAAAGTATGCAAAAGATCAACTAGAGGATTCCTCAGAAACAGACTCTTAAAACTGAATGGAGTACCAATGACCTCTATGGAGGACCAGCTAGAATGATGGAATGAACACTTTCAAGAGACACTCTAAAGAATCTGGTGATTGACATATCTCCCCCTTCAAAAGCAAAGGTAATAGTAGCTTTGAATAAACTCAAAAATGGTAAAGCATCAGGACTTGATGAAATCATCAAGGTTGATGTATTGACTGTCCCCAGCTTAAGAAAACACTAACAGAATGGAAAAAAGGGATTGATCATTGAGATATCTAAAAAAGGCAACATCTCAGAGAGCAATAATTGGTAAAGATTGGTTCTCTTAACTCTAATATGCAAAAATGGGCGTAAATGAAAATGATGCCTCCTCTTAAACGTTAAACAGTGAAATAACCTCAGAAACATGGTCGCAAATGAAAGGGGGAATTGTAGAAAAGGTCAACAGCAGAATCAAAAAGTCAAATGAAGCTTACGTCCAACTATGTTAAAAGAAAAACTTCTTCAGAACAAGCCCAGGATTTTTATCACCAATGATAAATGGAAGTACTTTATGGGAGCAAAACATGAAACTGTTGTCACCCGCCCTTTGCAAGCTTTCGTGAATCTTTACTTTTAATTACAGTAAATGTATGTGCAAAACTGAAATATGTGTAGGGAAATATATAGCTATAAAGGTTTATGCGCGCATTCTCCACCAATATGATGTAAGGGAATATATGGCGCAATAGCTATAAGGGAATTGATTATACCTGAGGGTATAATCGGTGATTCAAATGAGTCGACTCAGTGTCTCGGACAGTGCATCGGAATCATTTGAACACACGTGACTGTTGTCCAAAATACGTAACGTAGTTACTGTATATTAAGGAAAACTCATCAGTTTAACTCAAATGGAATTATCTAAAGGTTTTAGATAATTTAGAAGGTTTGAATGTTAATAATCTCCACCAACTGTACTATAAATACAGTAAAATCAATCCTAAGAGCACGGTAGCAAAAGATCTACAGAATAATGCAACAACTTGCAAACATTACGAGATACTTCTCTTTTATTATAAAAGTAAATATTTATTGGAAAATATCTAAGACAGACAAATACTATTCTAACAAGTAGCTAGCACACACACACACACGCATTCACATTCATATATACACAGATGTAAGAGAGAGAGTGAATTCTGGGTTTCAGACATTTAGCAAGGAGCTGACTTAAGAACCATCAATCAGGCATTAATTTCAACTTTGCATTGAGTTATTAGGCAAAGCTAATTAGACTAGAACAATGCACCAGTAAAGTAACCGATTCTGGAAGAATGTTACTTGCGCTGAAAGTGATTCGATGTCCCGTGTCTTGCTTCAGATGTCCTTTGTGAAGAGATCGTTCGATGAAGAAAGTCGGTCGCTTACAACATTGAACTTTAACGGAAAGGAATGAAAACGAGTAAAAGTGTCGCTCTGGTTGAAAGTCTTTCGAACTTTGAGAAACTACGCAAAACTTCTTCTGCGCCTACGAAAAGCTTGTGTGGAGGCGACTCGCCGTGTCCTCCATTGTCTTTGTTGCTGGAAGCGTTTGTTAGGAAGGCTTTGTTCTTCTTCTGTTTCTTTCTGCTTCTGTTCTTTCTCTTGTTTCAACTCTTTCAAACTCTGTGAAACTCTCGGAAAACTGAGGTTTGAATTCTGGTACACATGTTTTAAAGGGCGGTTCAGACCAATAGCGTGTCTTTCTGAAAGTTCCTCCTTGAGGCGGTCCTATCCAATCAGATGGCAGTTCCTGTACTTTTCTCCTTGAGGGAGGTTCTGTCCAATCAACAACAGTCTAAGGCACACTGGAAATCCCGCTAAAATAAACAAAGGAAAGCTTGAACAGATACATTAGTCTATAGTTCTTCTATCGCATTAAGTAACTAATCAAAAGCAAAACTTCATCAGAATAAAGTGGGAAAACCATCATTCACACACACATCCATACATGACTATGAATATTCCTGTTACTTGATGTGAAGAGGTTATATTTAAATGGTTCCTGCAGGATTCAGCTCGTACAACTCATATACAATTCATCTCATATAAAGAAATTATAACAAAGTCCAATGTATATCTGTGTACATGAAGCCATGTGGTTGTGAGTCATTTTGTATTGTTTGATTCACTGTTTATTAGTTGTTCCTTTAAATGATCCTGAGTTTGTGTGCCTGATCTTGTGGGCTGTTGGAGAGATAATGGGTTCGTTTGAGATTCATGAGGCATATCTTTAAAAGGGATGCCATAAACAGTTGTCCTTTGACCTCCTGTGCCTAGCACGGCTAGGGTTTCGGGGTTGAATCTAGTTTAATGGTCCATGGGGACCATAAAGCATTGTAATCTGGACTAGCGATCAGTCACGAGGTCCTTGGAGGTAGTGTGTCGAAGCATTCTTGAAGTCTGTCCTAGGTTTGTCTGCATTATCTTGCCTTAGACCCTACATATGTCATAACATATTTGCAAATTAAGGACCATTTCCATCCAACACTGTAGCTTCCAGATAAACTGGCGACAAATATCAAAATAAAAATGGAAGTTGCTCATATATAATAACTTCCTAGTGTCTTGAAACACGAAAAAGCGAAAGACCATATGTACAGTCATGTCATCTCGCTTTTGAAGGCGGGTGACTGCTCTTTGGGAACACCACCAGTTCTGGCAGGTGATGACCCCAAACCACTTTTATGAAAGTTGATCTGTTGGTTAGTCCATCAATGCTGCCCCATCACCCCCCAGTTCTGACAGAAGTGAAAGTGAAGTGAAAGTGACTTTAGGATCAAGTATGGATACAAGGAATTTGTGCTCTGCATTTAACCCATCCAAGTGCACACACACAGCAGTGAACAAACACACCGTGAATACACACCGGGAGCAGTGGGCAGCCATAGCTGCGGTGCCCAGGGAGCTGTGGGGAACTGGTGACTTACTCAAGGCCACCACAGTCATGGTTGTCACAGGAGAGAGAGTTTCAACACTCATCCCACCCTGTCTCCCTGTGGAGCTGGGGATTGAACCGACAACCTTTTGATCTCCAATCAATCACCTGGTCCTCTAGGCCACAACTGCCACATTTTCTTTTTTTTTTTTCTTTTCAGAAAAACGCATTGCCATTGGGCTGTATACTGGGATTTATTCTGTAAATGGGTTTCCAAGTTTATTCACATTTTTTATTTTTATTTTTTTTTTTCACATTTTTAAAAAAAAAATGTATGCACATTTTCCAAATTGATGGTCATCTTGGTGTTTCCATCTAGGGTTTTTTTATGTGATTTTCATGAAGACAGGTGGATGGAAATGCAGATATTGGCTAAGATGAATTTCGATCAATGATCAATGGAAGAAAGCAAGCAGATAGCCAATCCACAAATCAATTATGAGGAGGAAAATTAGAATGATTTCACATGTACTAAAAAAGCGAGATGGTACAATAAAAAGGAGGCCCAGGAATGGGACACCCAAGAATACCAAGGGAAGCTTTGGGAGATCTGCTGCAAAAGAAATGGACAAGCCATGGGATGAAATAAGTACCATGGATGCCCACAGAGAAAGGTTGAGGTCAACAAGCATCTGCTTTCAGATTGGGTTAAGGAGATTACTCCTCCCACTGGTAAGAAGGTTAGAAGCACAATAGCTTACTCAAACAGAGGCAACAAATATGTAAAGGAGACACTTTCCTCAAAGGCATAGATTAAATGTTCAGTAAACGTGACTCTCTATCTTTTAAATGTTCCCTCAGTCCTCGGGAGCTTTTACTTTTATATAGTTTAACACAGTTATTCTTTTCTTATACAGAGTTTTGTTTCTCTTTATTTCATTCTCTTCCTGTTTTAGAAGTATACACAGAGCTTCAGTTTAATCACAGCTTCTTTCAATCTGCCAAAGGCGGATTCCAGCCTGTGGCAAAACCCCCTACAGACAAACTTTTCTTGTTTATGTTTCCGTTCTTCCTCCACCAAGTGTTTCCTGTAAAGCCCATAATCTTTTGCTGTTTTCCACCTACGACAAGCTTTCCCTGATAGTTTCATACACAGAAGTCTGGTGTCTGCAATACTAACCATTAGAACTCAAATCTATACACTTGAAACTCTCACAGAGTGCCTTTATATCAAGTTGGTCATTTATGGATTGTGGATTAGCTTGGTAGTTTCATCCGATTATTGGTTTTTGGATAATCGATGGCATTAATCCAGCAAGCTGGTTCCTCTCGAGAACTCTTGGCTCATGACTCAGAAATGGTCAATTTTTTATATGCTCTGATGCACTTCACTCTGTAATCCAATACTCTGGCGTGCACAGACCTCTTGTGGGGTGGGAGGCAGAAGTGTTTTAGTATATGTTAGACTTTATTACAAATATATATATATATATATATAGCAGCTCATATTATACATTAAATAAATCAGTAATATCAATAATGAAAATAAAAAGACCTGTCATGTACCACACGCACAACAGGGGCATCACCCAGTTGCTCGACAGCCAACTCTAAAAGGTGTCTTTATGTCAAAATACAGATAAAAACATGACTAAACAGACTAAACATAAATTGCAAACAAAAGCAAGAGTAGATTTAACCAGGAAACCTTGAACCTGAAGATGAATCTTGAGATTTAATGAACCAGTGAACTTAAACAACAAAACTGAACACACAAAGATCATATGAAGAAGAGGAACAAACAAGGAAAGACAATCAGAAACATTGACCAGAAAGCAAGAGGGCTATCTAAAAATCACATATGAGAGCACATGGCTACTAGGAAACAAGAACCCATGTGCTCTGAAAAAAGGAATAACCAATAACATGAGAGGGAAAACCAGCACCAGAAAGCACTGCTTACAACCATGGAGTATGCGAAACTGTACCCAGAATGCCTTGTTGTCTGATATCTGGCATAAAACAGGAATTAACATGAAGTTGACAAGAAACTGGTGTAAACATCAACTTTAAAAACTCAACTTTACTTATTTAACAAACTACAAACTGCTCTACAACATTACAAAACACAAGCGATACAAGACAATAGAGACAAGAGACAATAAAACACCACTATGAGATAAACCAATGAAATTAAATAAAATCAAGCATATTAACTACAGCAATAAAATCACATTAGAGTGTAACTCAGACTGTGTTAAAAGCTGAAGAGTAAAAAATGGATTTTAGGACAGGATTTAACAATGAAAATTGAAGCAGATTGTCTTGTTTGTAGTGATAAAGTTCTCCAAAATTTAGCTGACTTGTTAATTAAATATCTATATTTTATGTTGCTGGAATTAATTTATCTTTGATTCTTTTTTAAGTTTATTTTTTAACTCAAATAATTTTATACAAAACATATTTTTACACAAAAGTCTTTTTCAGTTATGTGAGAGTAAACCGCAGATATTTCTGTGTGTGTTTTTTTTTTATCGAGACAGACATAAACATATGTTTGGCTTTGATGAATTGCCAATCTCTGGCTGAATGAGTTTAACTCAAATTTATACAGTGGATTGCTCCCCCTTCACAAGGACTTTGATAAATGCTTAATTTACATTTTCAAAGAGTCCTAGAGTAGAGAATTCAAAGCTACTATTGACCTTAAACAATATGCAGTTCAAGGGCATCTTCAGAGTAAATATTCAAGCAGGCTACGCCAGCCACAGAACATAAGAGCCTGATCTCCACAAGAATAAGGTCTCTAGAAAAACGGAATCATTGATACCGTACAAGGCCACAATTGTCTTCTGAGCTCCCTGTAATCGAATGCTTGGCTCCTATTAGTAGCTTCATCTGAAGGATTGAAAGTAAAACATCAGACAGCAGACATAGCACAGTCTGAAGAGCCACAGAAACACGCCCTGGCTGCTGAAAAATGGTCCCCAAGAGCTCCTGCAGAGATCAATATGACTTTGGAAAAGGCTGCAGAAATCTCTGAGGTAGTGATAGGTTGCTAACACCTTTCAATGTTTTCCATCACTGCTGCAATGCTTTGTTCTGGACAAATATTTTTTACTCGTTGCTAACAACACTCGAAATCCATTTGTCTCACCTCCTTGTTAGTGGCTACCTGCGGAAAGACCATATCTGCTAAAAAATACAGAGAACCTTGGGAATTTACGAGCTAGCCTTAGAATTTAACGCTTCAAGCACTTTCCGTGTATGTGAACTATCGCTATTCTCCGAGGATGTTTGCTGCAGTGCTCTATGAGCTACGACTGCTCTCAAACTCACTATGACGTGGCTCTGATAAACACCACAAAGCCAGCCACTGAGTTATCCTCCTCTATGATCGTTTTACGAATCCTAGATCAGTGACAGACAGCATTCTCTCCAGCACTCTTGCCTACGATGAGTGATGGTAAAACATTTAGCAGCAGGACACAGGATGGCCCTGTAGTTGACTGAACAAGCTATAACAGAATGTCCTTTTGGGCATTTGGTGAGCAAACACAAACACAGCTTCAGATTCTTCCTCTATCCCTGATGCGAACACACGAGCAATCGATATCTCACTCTGCATGCGGCTGCTTCTGCCTGTACAAATGGGTGGATGAGTTCTGCCACTAAATCCAGACTGGTTGACGGCACACAGTCTTGTACTGTAAATGGAACTTTTTTTCTGGTTCTTTTTTTTGCATGGTTAACTCCATAAAAACTGTGTCTAAATAAATAAATCGTAGTTTGCCTCATCGTAGTTTCGAATAAGACTTACATTTTTGTGAGAAAGACATCTAAAATATGCAGAGGAGGAGATGTACTCTCACAAGTCATCTCTAAAACGTATATTGACAAAGAATTTATTTGAGATTTTGTTCAAATCACATTTATTGCCTCAACTAGAGATGTGATGCGTTTAGTGAAACGCTTGTGGAAGATTTACAAAACATTGTATAATATTGTATGTATGCAGGTTATGTCAGAACCTGCAATTCCCCCACAGAACTAAATCACCATCGATGAATGTAAGGGGTCCAAAAACAGGTTTCATATTTTTATAAGAAGGTTATTGTTTACCTTTATCATTAGCTTTGATTGAATTAATAATTAGAGAGAATTATTGATTAGAGAGAAACTAGTGACAAGATTGAACAATCTCATTTTATTAACAATGAGTAAGTTACATAGCAAACTGTCAAAGCAATTTCAAGAAACTACATGATCTGAAGGGCTCTAAGTGTTTCAGACCACAGGCTTCATCATCGGATGAAGAAGCGTATATATTTCCGAAATAATGGCGTTTGGAAGGAATGCAACTTTTGTAACCTGTTGCAATTAATAAGGTTCATCTTAACCCAATAAAGATCTGAAGCTCAGCTCAGCCTGAACAGCTGAAGCCTGTGATGTCACCATAGGTATGTCTCAGTTTTCAGTCAGCCCACCAAATCCCCCGATTGGGCCATCCTTGCAAGGCAAAGCCTTGATGTTCTTGCTGTTGCAATCTGAACTGAGCTTACTTGATTCTGAGTCTTTTGAATCATTTGTCAAATCGATTTTTCGGTTCAACTCCCCAAAGCAGATCATCACAATTTCAAGGTAATGAATTAAAAAATACAGCAGAATAATCCCTTTCATTACAGCTGCTCTCTTTATGCTTACTTAGCTGTAGAAAGGTCATTCACAACGACTTTAAATCTAAAATAATGACCTTTATTTAATCAGAAACGTGCTTCTGCAATGTTTTCTCTGTTTTGACTTCAGACCTTTTAACCAGACCTATCCTTTCTGCACTTCCATTCTGTTGACTCTGTGCCTTGTTGTCTTTCTATTATAAGAAATGCTCTTTCGTATTCTCTCTTTTTGCACTTTGTTGTGTTTCTCTGACCTCTGAAATCAAGGCATTTTCATGAACAAAGCTGCTTCTGGTGTACCCCCCCCCCCCCATACATCCAAAATGAATGGTTATGGGATGCTTTTGGGGGGTTTAGAACATAGCCTGCTGAATTTATAAAGGAAGTGTATTGGCTGTGCTTCACATAGCTCCTCTATAAATCATATTAATTTGTACAAAAAACCCTGTATATTTAGTTTCTTCAGTAAGAGTACACGGAAATGCAAGATTCTTGTCCTTCTAAGTTTAGATGTT